CCTCAGCTCTTCAGCTCAAGGCTAGTGCTCTACCACTTGAGCCACAGCGCCACTTCCGGCTTTTTTCTTTTTGCTTATGTGGTACTGAGGAATGGAACCCAGGGCCTCAGGCATGCAAGGCAAGCACTCTACCATTGAGCCACCTTCCCAGCACTTGGCCAATTTTCTTGTTCAATATCTTTCATCCTAATACCCAAATCATCAACCAGATATTTACTAAATGATGAAATTATAAGACTTCTATTATATATATTTTTTTTCTTTTTTCAGATAGGTTCTCACTCTCTCGGGCTAGCCTTCACCTTATGGTCTTCCTGCTTCAGCCTTCTGGGTGTTGCTATTACAGGTGTATGCCACCATACAGAGGGTGATTTACATCTTAATTGCCCTTCAAATGGCAAGTATCAAATCAATCATTGAATATATTACCTTCTGTTGTGTAGCTATACAGGTTTTTCTTTGTCTTATTTCTTGGAACAAACAAGAGATTATAATATGAACAAGTATTAGTTCATGTCAAAAAGGATATGTCAGGCTAAAGAATTTAAGTGATTTGAATTGTAACAAGCTAATGAGTTCAAAGTTAAGAATAGCCACACAATCAATAATCTTGTGAGTGAAGGCATCTATCTGCAGCCTAGATCCTGAATCTGCTAGAGGTTCTGTAATATAGAAGCCTTTTTTGTGTATGCCAGTCCTGGAGCTTGAACTCAAGGCATGGATACTGTCTCTGAGCTTTTTTGCTCAAAGCTAGTTCTCAGCCACTTGAGCCATAGCTCCACTTCAAGGTTGTGATGTTTAATCAATACCAGCTCCTGTTGGTATTGAACCTCAGTCCTCAGATCTCAGCCTCCTGAGTATCTAGGATTACAGCTATGAGCCACCAGCACCTGGCATAGAAAATAATTTTTAAAAGATCATTTACAGGTGAGATAGGCTTACCTTATCCAATTAGAAATGACCTTTGTTTTGCAAAGATCTTTCAGCCTTACCATCCTGAAGAAGTCTCTAGGAAATTCCTTTTGTTTCTTTTTTATTTTATTTTTGTGAACATACTGTACAGAGGGGTTACAATTACATGGGCAGGATAATACATACACTTCTTATCAAGCATTGCAGCCTCCTCCTTTGTTTACCCTTCACATCCCTTCCCAGCCTCCCCCCCATCCCCCTACCCAATCCTCCCCCCTCCACCAACGTTTTAAAGCTCTTTTCGACATGACAACTTGTACTTCTCATTGTTGCAACAGGTCCACCTGTATCCTTAAACAACTGGTTTTTCCCCTTCTCCTCCACAAGTTATACTGACATCAAATATAGTGAAAGCAGGGGTTATACTGTGGGGAAGGGACATACAAAGCAACAAGGAGATAATCTTATAAATGCGTTAGAAACAAATGCATGAAAAAAACATTAAAATACATACCTAAGGGTTCATTTTCCTAACATCATGTTATCTGACCTTTTCCGTTTGACTCATACACATACTAGATATTGCAAATAAGGAAACCATGGGACCTATGTTTCTTTGGGCCTGGCTTACTTCACTTAATATAATTCTTTCCAAGTCTTTCCATTTCCTAACAAATGGGGCAATGTCATTCTTTCTGATGGAGGCATAGAATTCCATTGTGTATATATACCACATTTTCTTGATCCATTCATCTACTGAGGGGCATCTGGGTTGGTTCCATATCTTAGCTATGGTAATAATGTTGCAATAAACATAGTTGTGTTGGTAGCTTTAGTGTGGTCTTGTTTGTAAACATTTGGGTAAATGCCCAAAAGTGGGATTGCTGGGTCATAGGGGAGCTCTATGTGAAGTCTTTTGAGGAACCTCCATACTGCTTTCCAAAGTGGTTGAACAAGTTTACATTCCCACCAACAATGAAGTAAGGTTCCTTTCTGTCCACATCCCCTCCAGCATCTGTTGTTGTTAGAGTTCTTGATTTTTGCCATTCTAACTGGAGTGAGGTGGTATCTCAATGTTGTTTTGATTTGCATTTCTTTTATGGCTAGGGAGGTTGAGCATTTCTTCATGTGTCTATTGGCCATCCTTCTTTCTTCTTCAGAGAAGTTTCTCTTTAAGTCTTTAGCCCACTTATTTATTGGGCAGTTGTTTCTTTGAGGATTTGTTGTTGGGGATTTAATATTTTGAGTTCCAAGTATATTTTAGATATGAGACCCTTGTCTGTTGTATGACTAGTAAAGATCTTCTCCCAATCCGTGGGCTTTCTATTGATCTTACTAGCTATGTCCTTTGCCATGCAGAAGCTCTGCAACTTCATGCAATCCCACTTGTCCAACCTTTCTTTGATTTGTTGTGTTTCCGGGTCTCTATTCAGAAAATTTCGGCCTGAGCCAAGGAGACCTAGGGTTTCTCCTATTCCATCCTGTAATGTTTTCAGAGTGTCTGCTTTGACTTGGAGGTCTTTGATCCATTTGGAGTTGATTTTGGTGCAGGGTGATATATAAGGATCTAGCTTTAGTTTTCTACAAGTAGTTAACCAATTTTTTTTTTCTCGGTTGTGGGGCTTGAACTCTGGGCCTGGGCGCTGTCCTTCAGCTCTTCAGCTCAAGGCAAGCGCTCTACCACTTGAGCTACAGTGCCACTTCCGGTTTTCTGGTGGTTTATTGGAGATAGGAGTCTCACGGTCTCTCCTGCCCGGGCTGGCTTTGAACCGCGATTCTCAGATCTCAGCCTCCTGAGTAGCTAGGATTACAGGCGTGAGCCACCAGCGCCCGGCTAGTTAACCAATTTTGCCAGCACCATTTGCTGAAGAGGCTGTCTTTCTTCCATTCTATTGTTTTAGCTCCCTTATCGAAGATTAGATGGCTATAGGTCTGTAGATTCATTTCTGGGTTTTCAATTCTATTCCATTGGTCCTGAGGTCTGTTCTTATGCCAGTACCAAGCTGTTTTGATTACTATGGCTTTGTAGTAGAGTTTGAAATTTGGTATTGATATTCCTCCAGCAGTGTTCTTTCCGTTGAGGAGCGTTTTTGCTATTCGGGGTCTTTTATTGTTCCATATGAATTTTTGGATTGCCTCTTCTATTTCCTTGGAAATTCCTTTTATTTTGATTTTTTTTATTTCTAAAATAGAATCCCCAGTAGAATGTACACATCTGGGTCAGAACATACCATCCCAAACTAACACTACTTTCCTATGATGCATAACAAAAAAACTCCCAAAATTATTTTAAACTTCTCGTAGTAAAATATCATAAGGCTAAAGATTAGTTCAGTGGCAAAGCACTTGACTAGTATGTTTGAGACCCTGAGTTAACTCTCTAGCACCACAAAAATAGAAAAGAAGAAAGGAATCAAAGTATCATGTAGATTGATTGTATTAAAGAGAATCCATAACTAAAATGTTATTTTAGAGTATTGATTCATCACATTTCCCTATTGAATGGCAATCACAAAAAATTGTTATGTGTGTGTGTATACACAATGTGTACATTGTTTTCTGAGTCAGTTTCCCTGTGTAGCCAAAGCTGGACTCATTATGGAACCCAATCTGGTCTTAAATTTGTGATATGGATGGCTTATTCTGCCCAGATTACAGATATTTACCACTACACATGGCAGTGTATCTCAAATTTTGTGAGGTACTAGTAGATTTTATTTTCTCCTGTAGATTCTGATGTACAGTCCAATTTTATATAAAAATAGATTTTTTTGTAGGTCGTGAACTCTGGGCTTGAATGCTGTCCCTCAGCTCTTCAGCTCAAGGCTAGCGCTCTACCACTTGAGCCACTGTACCACTTCTGGTTTTCTGAGTGGTTTATTGGAGATAAGAGTCTCACGGACTTTCTTGCCCCAGCTGGCTTAGAACCAGGATCCTCAGATCTCAGCCTCCTAAGTAGCTAGGTGTGAGCCATTGGCGTCCGGCTTTAGATTTCATTTTTAAACTTCCAATCTGAATCACAATCTTGGATACCTACTTCTGAAATGAGAATTCTACCCTAATTCTATATGCCTGGTTAGTATCTCATTTTATCTTCACCTAATCCTTTGTTTGACTTGGGATATATTAACAAGAAAGGTGAATAATAATAGTATAGTTTTTTTCTTCAGATGAGAGTAAAAGTTTATTTGATTTGAACAAAAATGCAACATCCTGAGCCAATGCTATAAGCAATATAGCATTTGTTGTTCTCCATTATTTGTTGGATTTTATAAGATCTGATTTGACTTTAACATACCTTGGAATGAAGCCATCAGAGTAGCCATAATTTTTATCTGAAAGATATATAAACATACAAATTAAGGGAAGCTTTGGCATATATTGCTGAGAATTCTACAGAATGTAGTGATAGGAGAGAGGTGGGCAAATAGAGAAGAGGAAGATCCATAAATCGTATGATGAAACAACCTTGTAAAAGAAATAGATGCTAATTAAAAGAAGACTGGAAACAAGAACAAATTATGACATTGCTTCAAACTAGAAGACATAATAGATATGGAATAAAAACATTTTCCCAACCTGACTGATATTTTGAAAAGATAATATGGACATTTCAAGTAAAAGTGCTTGAAACATTGAAGGTTTGTGCCTAGAAAGAGTGTTCATAAAAATATATATTAAAAAAGAGTGCTCATATAACATAAAAGAATAACTCTGAAATAGAGAATAGGGAAATAGAGAATAGCTGGATACAAGACCAACAAACAGGAGGAGGGAAAGACCACAAAGCTTTGTGCACAAAATGCAATAAAAACAGCAGTATAAAGGATACATATATGTACACTATGCTCAGATAGAAAGAAGGGGCCTAAAATATAGTGGGAAAAGGTAAGTAATGGGTAAAGGACATTATTCCATTAAGAGTAACTATATTGAAAGGGGACTTAAAAAGTTCAAGGGCACCATATTCCATGCTATTCTTAGAATTTTTAAATGTGTAATCTGGAGCTGGGCCATCAGTGCGTGGGTGATTTCAGTTTTACAGTTCTTGTATGAAGGTTAATAGACTGATCTCTTTAGATGGGAGTAGTAATGAAAAGTTCAGAGGTTAGAGCTAAGAATGAAGGGCAACAATCTCAGGCTCCTGAAAAAAGCTTGCTTTGTCATGAGGGTTTGGACGTTTATATAAAAATAAGTGGCATATTTCAATACTGCCTAGTTATTTCAATGATACTAACAAAATTTAAAAGCCTGTGCTGTATAACTAGTATATGTCTAGGACAAACAGAAAAGGTCAAAAGCTATGTACATATGACCATATAAGATGATGCTAAGAGAAATGAACCCCAAGATAGGGACAAAAGAGGTTTTATCTTTCTTGCTGTTGTTTCTAATGTATTTATAATGTACAATGTGATTTTTTTGTTTCTTTTGTATGTTCTTCCCCCATGGTACAACCCCTGTTTTCACTGTATTTGATTCCAGTGCCCTGCATCTTGTATATGCATTTTTCTAATTTGGGGAGGAGAAGGGAAGTAACAAAAAGCTGAAATAAAGATACAGGTTGTTCCATTGTATCAATGAGATGTACAAGACACTATGTTGAAAACGAACTTTACAACCTTGGGGTGGGGGGAAAGAGGAGTTTGGGAGGTGGGGAGGGAAGGGATAGTAGGAGAAAAACAAAGGAGGAGGTAACAATGCTCAATAGGAATTGTACCTTACTCATGTAACTGTAACCCATCTGTACAGTATCTTTACAATAAAAAGTCTATACAAAAAAAGCCTGTACTACAAAGCAGCCGAGTGTGCAAGATGGTGTGTGTAGGAGGAGCTAGGTGAGTTTTCCTTATCCTGACCTGTGATTCAGTGCAAAACTTGTGGTCAGGTTGATAGCAGGGAGGATGTGATGCATTTGCTTTTATGCTTTCACCTTTTATGCTTTCACCCATCTGTGCACAGTACATTGTAGCAAGAAATAACAGTCTATAACTTAAACTCCATAATAGAATCTTTCAGATTCATGTTCCATGCAAAATCGGAGAAAATATGTCATCGTTTTCTGGTGAATAGGGGCTATCCCAATAGGACTTTGATATATGTACAAAATCATGTACTCCTTTATCCTTATATCAGAGCAGAAGAGTTAGATAAATAATATTCTCTGGATTTAAAGGAGGAAACAGCAAATCCATCTCTATCAGAAAAAGAACTAGATATAATCCTCCCAAAGAACAGATTTGAACAAAGAATCACATAGAAATAAAAGGTGTATTTGGGAAGGAAGAGGAAAATACATTTCAAAGCCTCTACTTTGCGCTACAGAAAACATCAAGAAAGGGCTTATCTTGTCTATCTGATTTAATGGATAGATACTACATTGCTGCTAGATGGAGATTTTCATTTGTAAGCTATTTAATACAGTAACAAAACGTATTCACTGGCTGTTGGCCAAGGTGGAGTCATACCTTGCAAGTTTCTTAGCCACAAGAGTAGCACAATGATGTAAACAGAAAGTTCTGTGAGGCCATGTGCAGGAGCAGTGCATTCACAGACCAAATGGTAGTAAAGCTGGCTGATTAACAGAATCTCTGCTAGTCGCTCTGTGTAGGAGAAACAGAGCAGAGGGAGACCTCAAGGCCAGAAGGAAATGAACGGCTAATCCCAAATCTACCTGGAATCTCCGGATAAGAACAATAGTACTTTTTATTCATATTAAGTAGAAAGGATGGTGCAGTTTATTACTTGAACATGAAGAGGTTATCAAGAGGGGTTGGGGCAGATGAAAAACAGGAAAGTAGGAAGAGAACAAAAATATTGGTGGAGCATTGATAAACCAGAGTTAATTTGGGGTGTGTTAATTTACAAAGGACAAGATCTGGGTTAGTGGGATCCACCAGAGGGGATTCATGGCCGCTTACATCCCTGTGATCAGCTAAAGCTTTGCTCAAATTTCATAGAAAACTACAGAAGGTCAAAATGGACTTGAATATGATTTACACAAACACAGTTACTGCTAAAACTTAGTTATTGTACAGATTTGTTAACTAATATAGAGGTAGGGACAGGAAATGAAGCAAGAGCTGCAGAGGACCAGAAGGTAGGAGCAACCACAGAGCCAGAAGAACTGCTATTCACAAAAATGAGGGAAGGGCTGGGAAGGTGGCTCAGTGGTAGAGCGCTTGCCTTGCATGCCTGAGGTCCTGGGTTCGATTCCTCAGCATCACATAAGCAAAAAGAAAAAAGCCGGAAGTGGCGCTGTGGCTCAAGTGGTAGAGCGCTAGCCTTGAGCTGAAGAGCTGAGGGACAGTGCCCAGGCCCAGAGTTCAGGCCTCACGACCGGACCCCCTCCCCCCACCCAAAAAAAATGAGGAAATACTGGGAGAATAACATAAGGCCATAAGTACCCTTAAGTAATCATTTGTGGAAAGAGGGAAGGAAGTACCAGGGGCACTAGATATGGTCATGTGACTTATACCAGGCCAACAAACAAATATCAATATGCAACCTACAAATATTAGTACACTAAAACAGATGTATGTAGGTCTGTGTGTGTGTGTGTGTGTGTGTACATTAGAAGAACCCTATGGCCTAAGTACATGATCTGCTAGTTGAATATTAAAAGCAGAATACTAACTTACACCAAGATGGCTTCAAAAGTTGTGCTGTTTTTAAAAAATTTGAGATAATTGAGAAAGAGTTGAAGAACTATATCACAATTTTAAAATGTTTCCTTTTCTCACCACATTACTTTTAAGGCAGTGTAACAAGGGGTGGCATGCCGGGGAAAGAGGGGCTGGAACAAGTGTAAAACAAGTATGAAATCCAACCTAAAAATAACAAAAAAGTACTACATTTCTCTGTATAGGGACAATATGGTATGGCTGTAAATACTTAACATGCCAACATACAAATTACCAAAATTGAGCACTGTAAAACCTGTGCCATTGAGGTGTGTAAGATTCATATTGCCAAGTACTTCTGTGACAGAAGCAGCAGGTAAGTAACCTTAGACTGAGCCTGATCTTCACTGTGTTGATAGGGTTACTTGGAGTCTGTACCTGAATCTAAGTAATTCTATCCTCCTCCCCCCCAAATACCAAAGTTGTAAAGTTCAATTAGGACATAACGACTTGTACATCTCATTGTTGCAATGGATTGGGGGGGGGCGGGGACGGGGAGGATAGGATGGGAAGGGATGGGAAGGGGAAACAAAGGAGGAGGCTACAATGCTTGATAAGAAATATACTCATTATCTTGCCCATGTAATTGTAACCCTTCTGTACAGTATTTTCACAATAAATAAAAAGAATGAAAAATGAAAAAAAAATAATTCTATGTGATTTCCAGGGCTTGGAAATGACTCTGTAGGCTCATTTGACATTGGTCAAATTTTCTAGAGCAAGTTTAAGTTAGACACTCAGACTCACACTGCAAACATTATGTAACATTGTGAATTCATTAGAGGCTAACTGCATGTAAAGGCTGGGTCAGCTGATGCATTGCACACACTTGGAATCATGGCACCTTCTGATAAAGGCCAATTTCTGTCTATTCTATTGAAGGGGAAAAGTTGGCAGTATCAGTCTTCCTGGTCTTTCTTCCTATACCCTGGGAGTGTTAGTTCACAAGTGTTCTAGTTGTCTATTGCTTTTCTTTTCTTTTTCTTTTTTTTATTGTGAAAATACTGTACAGAGGGTTACAATTATATGGGCAAGATAATGAGTACATTTCTTATCAAGCATTGTAGCCTCCTCCTTTGTTTCCCCTTCCCATCCCTTCTCATCCTTCCCCCGCCCTCACACCCCATCCTCCTCTCCCCCCACCAATGTTGTAAAGTTCGTTTTCGACATTACCACTTGTATATCTCATTGTTGCGATGGATCCACCTTATCTCTAGTTAAACGATTTGTTTTTTTCCCTTCCCCTCCACAAATTATACCAACATCAAATACAGTGAAAGCAGGGGTTGGTTATACTGTGGGGGAGGGACATACAAAGCAACAAAGAAATAATCTTTTAAATGTGCTAGAAACAATCGCATGAAAGAAAAAAAGCATTTGAATACATATCTTAGGGTTCATTTCCCTAACATCAACTTATCTGATCTTTTCTGCTTGATTCAGACATATACTAGTTATTGCAAATAAGGGAAACCATGGGAACCTATGTTTCTTTGGGCCTGGCTTACTTCACTTAATATAATTTTTTCCAAACCTTTCCATTCTTTCTGATGGAGGCATAGAATTCCATTGTGTATATATACAATATTTTCTTGATCCATTCATCTACTGAGGCCCCCATAAACAGGCAGAAGTTGCAATCCTGATATCAGATAAAATAGACTTCAAATTAAGAAGAGATAAAGAAGGTAGCTACATACTAATTAAAGGATCTCTCCTTCAGGAGGATATTACAATTCTAAATATCTATTCGCCAAACAACAGAGCACCCAAATTCATCCAAGAAACACTACTTTCCCTCAAATCCCACATAGATCCAAAGACATTAATTGTTGGGGACTTTAACATACCACTTTCCCCACTAGATAGATCAACTCTGCAAAAACTCAACAGGGAAACCACAGATCTAAACAACTGCATAGATCAACTAGATTTAATAGACATCTACCAAATATTTCACCCAGCAGCAGCAGAATACATGTTTTTCTCAGCAGCACATGGAACATTTTCCAAAATAGACCACATTTTAGGCCACAAAGCAAACTTGTCCAAATTCAGAAACATTGAAGTTATACCTTGCATTCTTTCAGACCACAAGGGAATAAAATTAGAACTCAACACCAAAAGCCACCAAAGAAAGTCCGGCATCACATGGAGGCTGAACAACACACTGCTGAATCATGAGTGGGTCACTGAAGAGATTAGAAAAGAAATTCAAATTTCATGCTATTCAACAAAAATGAGCACACAAATTACCAGCTCCTTTGGGCACAGCAAAGGCAGTACTCAGAGGAAGTTTATAGCTCTGAGTTCCTACATCAACAAATTGGAGAGATCTGAAACCAAAAAATTTAATGAGACATCTGAACCTCCTTGAAAAAGAGCAGCAAGATAAACCCCAATCCAGTAGACAGAAAGAAATAATTAAAATTAAATCAGAATTAAACGAATTAGAATCCAAAAAAAACATAGAATCAACAAAACAAAGTGTTGGTTCTTCGAAAAAATAACAAAATTGACAGACCCTTAGCAAATCTTATCAGAAAAAGAAGAGAACACACCCAAATAAACTCAAAGATGAGAATGGAAACATCACCACAGAAACAACCAAGATTCAGAACATTATAAGGGAATACTTCTCTAAACTAGCAAAAATTGACATGCCGAAACTAAACCAAGATGAGTTAAACCATCTTAACAGGCCCATATCAAACATTGAAATAGAAACAGCAATAAGAGACCTCCCGTCTAAGAAAAGCCCAGGACCAGATGGTTTTACAGCGGAATTCTACAAGGCCTTCAAAGTAGAGCTCACACCAATTGTCTATTGCTTTTCCAGGCTTCTTCTACGCTGCTCCAGCCTGTGACAGTACAGATGGTCCTGAGAAAGTTGAGTAGTTTGAGTGGAGCCTTGAGGAGCTGCTCTTCACTGTTCTTACCATGTAGCAAGGGAGAACCTTCATGTCGATAGGTACTCCAACATAGATTGTGATTTTATGGTTAGTTCAGTTGGGGAAGGATGATCCCTTCTGAATATGTACCCTAAGTCAGAGTTAAAGCTGAATTTGGGGGATATTTTCTAATTCAGAGAAGTTTCAGAATAAAAAGAAAGCACCAAATAGATTTCTATAGACAAAAAAGTAACCTTTTATAGGACATTTATAAAATTGTCTACTTCAGTAGATTTTTCCAATGACTTTATAGTACCCACCCAAGCAGGTACTACATAACTATTTGTCAAAATGCCTTACCTTGTCGCTGCTTTTCTATGTAGTGGGAAATATTGAAGGTCAGTGATATAATCAGAGCCAATCCCAAGAGGGCTAAAAGTCCCCAGAAAAAGAAGGGGCATCCAGAGTTTCCTGCAAACAATAATAGACACCCCTATGATATATTAATGATGCCATATTAGTTTTGGTCACAAAACCATTGAAATTATTTATAATGATGGACAAAAGGCTCTGGGAAAATTTATTAACATTGACAAACAAAGGTGTCTTGAAAATTTCAAAGTAAGTGTTGGTGATGTCCTTAAATTTAGTACAGGCAAAAGGTAGCAAGAGGTTTTTTTTGTTTGTTTGGTGGTTTTGGTTTTACATTTTTGGTGTTGATAAAATGAAAATTAATTCAGTCTGGGTAATAAAATATGGCCAGTGGTGAATACAAAAATAGTTCAAAAGTTTAAAAAGAATTCTTATTATCAAGACTCGTGTTTTACTACACTTTCCCATTCACCTCATTTTTAGTCCAAAATTATATGTAATTTCCTTATTTGCAGAAAACTACCAGTTCCCTTCCACTGATCCTAATAGTGTGAATCACAGTAACACAATTTCTTAGTACTGATCACAAAGAGTTTTTCTGATATATTTATAGCTCCATTAATGGACAACAGAATTCATATTGCTTCTTTTTCCCCCAAGGCCTCTCTAGTTTCATTTCAGAAACATAAAAAGGAGCTTATGGGCTTTTATCTGTTAGTTGAACTTGACAATTCAGTTATTTCTACAGAAATGTGATTACTGAGATATTATCTTGATTACAGATACCTTAGTACCCCTATCATCATATGACCACATTATATGCTGACCCCAGAAAAGTAACTAGTAATCCAATATTGTATCTTCATATATTCAACCAATATATAATAACAACCTGGATCAGATTTATGTCCTATACTAGAAAATTAAAGATTTGAAAAAAAAGGAAACAGAAGCAAAACCTTTGCTCTCAAAACATCAAGAACATCTAAGTTGGGACATAGATGTTAAACACATAAGTCGGATTGCAGGGGGCAAATAGCTTGAAAATAACTGAAACAGAGATCATAATTCTTCATGTCCAGTCCCAATTCTCTCATTAAATGAGGCATTCTTATTATTGAACTTAGTGTATTGGGGGATTCTTTATTATGTTAGTACATTATTTTAATGGCTGCCTAGAGCTTTACAGAGTTGTTATAATAATTCTAGCCATTTGTCTAAAATAGACACGCTAATTTTTTTTAAAAAGTAATAATGCAGAAAACACTACTGGATACTTCATGCTCAGCTTTATCTATTCATGAAGTTCCTAAGAATAGAATTGTTGTATCAAATGGTAGATTGAGAATATTTAAGACAAGTGTTAAGAAACAGATGGCTCCCTACCCTCTTGTCTTCTCCTTCCCCACACTGATATTATCTTCCACCTGGTTAATTTAACTGTAACTGTGCTAAAGGAAACCAACAAACTGGCTCCCTTGTCAGCTAGGATTGAGTTTTCGTCTCTTCACAGTACAGAAATAAAAGAATGATCTGTTATTAGAGATTCTTGCTCTTTTATTCTTTTATTTATTTACTTGTTACTTAATTTGTTTATATTAATTGTACAAAGGGGTTTTGTTGCAATATTCCAATACGTGTATATAATATACTTTGATATACCATTCAAACATTTATGATCTATCTAAATGCAGTTCTAAATTTATCCCCATAATAAGACAATTTGAGGGCTCTCACTATAAATTCTACTGAAGTTTATCTCAGCTATTATGTCAAGTTATTCAGTCAACCAGGCCTAGGCACACTCTTCCTCTACACTCACTATGTGTGATGACATGTAAATTGATTTTAATTGCTATGAAAAGGCCAGATGACTTCCTGTTGCTGTTGTGATGAGCTCATGTACTGTGAATGGAAAATTCAGTGACACTAACCCCACAGAAGAAATCCCTTCTGCAGTGAATAGTACATGGCAGTACAAAGTGACCTCTTGTGGTTTTTGCTGGATTATCACTTTCTTACACATATGATAAACAAATAAAATGTTATCTGACTGCTTATATTATCAGAAAGACTTCTGCTCAACAATGGGACATAAGTAATTAAATTTTGATGGAGTCAAAAGTTATATGCAGAATTTTGACTAAAGGGAGGGGTCAGTACTCCTAACATCAACTTCCAAACTTTTCCATGTTTATTTTGAACGTATTTATTAGCATTTATCAGTTTTATAATCGGGCTTCATTGTGATGATTTCCATATATGCCTACAATGTACCCTGATCAAATTCACATACTTTTTCTTTTTCTTTTCATATCCATTTTCTCTGTCCATTGTTCTCTGCTCCACTTCTTTAAAATTTTCAGCTAGCCTCATTTTCTGTTTTCATGTGTCTATAAAGTACTCCAGCGATGTTTCAAAAACCTCCTCCACCCTCTCTGTCCACTCTTCCCCCTTCTGCCAGTACCTACTTCATCAAAAGAACCTGCTTTACTCTCCTATTATTCATTTTATACTTTGTATTAATTGTACAAAGGGGTTTCATTATACATCAATATATTATATTTAATCCACCTATTTTACTATTCTCTCTTTCCCCATAACCACATTTAGAAATCGTCATAAGAAGAGGTATAGGATTCAATTATGCCAGCAATATTGTTTACTCTTCTATCAGTAATTTCTCACAGTGGTTTAAATCTGCAACCACAATACCCTGCAACATTCTACTGTATGAACTTTCCACAGCTTACTTAAGCCATCTTTCTTATTAAATACTTAAGTGGCTTCTATGTTTTAATTATTATAAGCAAATGTTTCAATATTATGATGAATCTTCCATAGCTAAACTAGACATAAGCCTTAATTTTTAGGTTAATGTTTTTGAAAAGAAATGAGTGGATCCAAGACTATACAGAACTTAAAAAACCTTGATCAATATCTTACTATTCAAGGTTCTAAAGATTAAAAACAGTTTTTGTTTGCTGGGAATGTGGCTTAGTGGTAGAGTGCTTGCCTATCATGCATGAAGCCCTGGTTCAGTTCCTCAGTACCACAGAAATAGAAAGAGCCAGAAGTGGTGCTGTGGCTGAAATGGTAGAGTGCTAGCCTTGAGCAAAAGAAGCTCAGGGACAGTGCCCAGACCCTGAGTTCAAGCCCCAGGACTGGCAAATAAAAAAGTATTTTTTTAAGTTTTAATACATTACATCTTCTCAGGTTAGTCTGGCTCTGTTCCAAATTCATTCAGTTGCCACTGGCTTTAATATTTATTCTGAGTTCAGTTAATTTGTACTATATTAAAGTCCACTGCTGATCAACCTACACCTCATACTACACTAAGCTCAAATGCTCTCCTCCATGGCTTCCAGAGAAAGTCATCCCTTTTAGTTTTTCCTGTAACCTATGACAGAGGTTGTTCTGAAGTATGTGACTGATAATAAACATTTTTGGAACATAGAGGACATTATGCTTTTCTTTCCTCATCAAAAATTATTTTCAGCAAACACTACTTTAGAGTTGTTGACAATCTTTTGGGAGTTGTCTGCCTACCAATTATCTGCCAGGCACCAATCATTTTTGAAGCACTTGCTGTTTTCTGTAGATCCCACCCCGCTTGTCAAGGCCTGATCTCTCTATATCTTTGCCACTTTGCTATTTTCTACAGCAGTTACACACACAGAAATGGTTGTGCTTTGAGTTAATGAAATATATTCCAAAAAATCAAACTTCAAGGAAGCAAAAGCCCTAACCTTATTTTTAAAATTATACTAAATCTAACTATGAATCATGCTATCAATTTACAAAATTATTTTCTAAATGATGTTTCACTTTCTCCAGTCCAATTAAAGAGATCATTGAAGTAGCTTATAGCTCATTAATAGCTATAATAGATATAGATATAATTTTGTCTTCAGCTACTAAGAAACTACAAAGCACCTTATACTAAAAGCTTTAAGGAAACCCCTAATAATTGTCCTGAATATGTCAGTGATGCTAAGGTAAGAATTCAAAACACTCTGCACATTCTTTCAGGGCTCTGCTTCATCATTTACTTAAATAGTAAATTGTTTCACATATGCAATTGGAGACCTTTTGAAGTATAAGCATTATCTAACTGGAAAATGGTTTAGACATAGTAGGTATAGGTAAGCATGACCATCAATTTCCCTGTGATTTTTATTTTATTTTGTTTTATTTTTGCTGAACTCTGGTCCTGGGTGCTGTCCCTGAGCCTCTTTGTGATCAAGGCTAGTGCTCTACCATTTGATCCGCAGCACCGCTTCTGGATTATTCTGAGTGCTATATTGGAGATAAGAGTCTCATGGACTTTTCCTGCTTTCTGTGATTCTCAGACCTCAGCCTTCTGAGTAGCTAGGATTACAGGCATGAGCCACTGGCACCTAGCTTTGCTGTGATTTTAGGAATCTGTAAAACCTAGTATTTCTGTTTTCTGAGAATTTTTCCTTAGTAATATTATCTAAGCTTTAAGTAAAAGAATTTCCATGTAGAAGCTTCACGACATTGTTGATATCTTTCAAACTTTTTTGATTATGAACAATAAATCCTCTATTTTGAAAAAACAGATTCAGAAGAATATATACAAATTCTATCTCTCTCTCTCTTTCTCTCTCTCTCTCTCTGTCTCTATTCCCTTTGCCTATAATTCTCCATTTTCTGCATAAACATCTCTATATCCCTATGGGTCTCTACTTAATATAGAGTACATCTTATAATATTAGGTGCACAGCACACTTGGGACTATTTTCCCCCAAAGAGCAATATTTAACTTCATTATCTATGAATAATAATTACATTCATTTATATAGTTTTTACCAATTTAAAAGTAATTCCCACGCAATTTGTATTTGGCTATTTATCTGCTAAAAAGCCAAAGGCCTTGAGAAATTACTAGTAAAGCAATGGGAATGATTTTCATTAGGCAAATCATGATTTAAGTTTCTCTCCAGCTTTCAACCACCAGAGGCTAATAGTGGTGCATTTAATTATAAGACCTCTGACTTTCTGAAAACCAGCAGTAATTGGCAGGTACTATGTTCAGAGTTCACAGTTGCAGGTACTCTGGAAAGAAACCCAACTAAGCAAGTATAATGGCTTTCTGCTGACAGTTTTGATTCATACAGAAGCCTTTATTTAAACAATTAATAAGTGAAATAATAAATATAGTGTTTTACTTGCTTCAATCTACAGACTATCATTGACTAGGACAAGCATATGCATTTATAGTACATAGTCTCTTTTAATGGCCTCCTTTGGCTTCTATACCATACCAAAGATATGAACAACTCTTTGTATTCCATGAGTGTGAATATTTAATTTAGGTACCAAGAGGTTAAAGAAAAAGATTAATAATACAATCATCATAGATGTGTGTGTGTGTGTATGCACATGCCTGTGCGTGTATGTGTGCACAGTGGTCCTGGGCCTTTAACTCAGGGCCTGGGTGCTGTTCCTGAGCTTTATTTGCCCAAAGGTAGCTTTCTATTGCTTAAGTCACAGCTCCACTTTTGGCTTTTTTTTGGTGGTTAATTGGAGATATGAGTCACATGAACTTTCCTACCTGCCCTGGCTTTGAACCACAATCCTCAGATCTCAGCCTTTTGAGTAGCTAGGACTCATACATTTTTCTTTTATAATAGTTTTTACTATCGCATGGTTTGGGGCATGGTACACCATCACTATTCCAATACTTTCAACTACCATTGATGAGCACAGCACTGTCATCAATAAAAGGTGTTAGAACAACAGAGATTATCATAGGAGGACCCTCTCATCGTAGTTCTAGGATTTCAAGTAAATAACATTGATTGCTGTAAAATCCACAGCCCATTGACTTGAAATGAATGGTCTCTTACAAGACACAGTACTTGAGATGTGAATGGTATGGTTTTCACTACAGGCTGTGATAGAAACAAGAAAAAGAGCAGTGCTGGCTCCACAGTGACTATTTTTAAACAAAATGAGAGGTTGGAGTTCCTGTCTTTATCTTTGGGGCTCGAAGGCCTCCTTTTTCTAATACATCATGATGCCTCCAAGTTAATACCTACTGAGTCTAACCAAAGAGACCACACAGAAGGGAGTAAGCAGGGGGGGAAACAAAATTTAAGAATAAGTTAAGATTTCTCCTAAGTTATAATTCTTGTTGCTGTTGCAATAAAACTTTACTTTGAATTTATTTTTTTTGGGGGGGGGGTTCCGGTTGTGAGGCCTGAACTCTGGGCCTGGGTGCTGTCCCTCAGCTCTTCAGCTCAAGGCTAGCGCTCTACCACTTGAGCCACAGCACCACTTCCGGCTTTTTTCTTTTAGCTTATGTGGTGCTGAGGAATGGAACCCAGGGCCTCAGGCATGCAAGGCAAGCGCTCTACCACCGAGCCACCTTCCCAGCCCATACTTTGAATTTCTTAAATTCAGAAATCCTATTGTGATTGACATGCCACCAAAAGGCCAACTGTAGATGAACCTTTTTTTGATCTGTATTTAGTTGCACTCTTTTATACATCTACTTACTGCTTCTTCTTAGAGAGGCACCTTGGAAAGACTTTCTGATGAAAGCTCAGCTGTGTGAATCTTTCATCCCTCCAAATACTTAACGATGTTCTATTTTAACTTCTATTTGATTTCTCAATTTTTTTTACTTTTTAATTTAAATGTGCTAGGTCTACTGTGACTCTGCCTCTGATCTGTAATGCTGGCTACAAAGGAGTCAGAGATTCAGAGGATCACAGATCAAGGCCGGCTTTAGAAAAGTCTATGGAACCCCATCTCAGCCAATAAAAGCAGAACACAAGGGTGTACTCCTGTTATCCCAGGTATTTGAAAGTGTATCTAGGTGGACAACTTTCCTAGTCGGTCCAGGAAAAAATTTGAGACCTTATTTTAAAAAATAATGAACACAAAAAGGAGTCTGGCTCAAGTGGTAGAGTACCTACCCAGAAAGCATAGGCACTGAGTTCAAACCTCAGTACCACCACAAAACAGAGATAATAAAATGAACATTTCAAAATGCATGGAAAATTATCCAATGAGATAAGCAAATTGTGAGCATATGCCTATCAGCGTTGTGACCTTTATACAACTATATTTCCTAGATTGACTTTTCTTGAAAATCACTGCTGAAATGTTGTCTTTGGCCAATTTTTTACTTAATAACACCTGAGTTTAAAATGTAATTCATAAATTAATCCTATCTAGTCTCTAAAACAAGGATTGCAGGGAAAAACTGGGAGAGCATGAGGGAAGAGGTGACATTGCCCCAAAATAAATGAACTCATAGCTGAGCACCCATGTCTCATGCCTATAATCCTAGCTACTCAGGCTGAGGCCAGAGGATTGTAGTTGGAAGCCAACCCAGGCAGAGAAGTCCACGAAACTCTTATCTTCAGTAAACTACTCAGAAAAAGTCAGAAGTGGCACTGTGGCTCAAGTGGTAGAGTGCTAGCCTTGAGCACAAATTGGCTCAGGGACAGCACTCAGGCCGAGTTCAAGTCCAAGGACCAGCAAAAGAAAAAAAGAAATGTACTCATTACCTGACTTACGTAACTGAAACCCTACTGTATATCACCTTTATAATAACAATTTTAAAAGTATAACTCTTTTCAAAGGAAAACAGAACTGGATAAAAACATGAGAAACCTCTTAAAAATGTCTAAACTAAATGGTGAATCGTTTAAATTAGGAATTGTTCTCAGAGTTTCATTAGCTCATACTGATTTTATGTGATAGCAGAAACAGTAGGAATTATAACACCAACATATTTACTGATGGTATCATGACAACAGAAACAATGGCAGGGAAAAAAAAGGAAAAATATGGGACTTGTCATTTCATATACTTTCTACAAATAACCATGCTGTGTGCTCAAATTTATTATCTTTTTTATTTTACCTATTTAAATATGCAAACTTATCATCTATTTCTTTTCTTTCATATTGAATTTGTCTTTGTTTTGTTTTGGCTTCTATGATTTCTGAGGCTTTGAAGTCAAAATCTTTATATTTGCAAGTTGTCCGTGGAACTGTTTTTTGTTTGTTTTTTTTTAAGCTTTTTATTGTGAAAATACCATACAGAGGAGTTACAATTACATGAGCAAGGCAATGAGTACATTTCTTATCAAGCATTGTTGCCTCCTCCTTTGTTTTTCTCCTACCACCCCTGCCCTCCCATCTTCAAGACTACACTCCCCCCCCCACCCCTCCATCTCCTCCTCATCCCCCCCGCCCAAAGTTTTAAAGTTCGTTTTTCGTTTTTCGACATATGACATAGCATCTTGCACATCTCATTGTTGCAGTGGAGAAGTTTAGTTTTATCCTGTCTCTCCTAAATGTAGAGTGGATTACTTCTATCACCCCTCCCAAGCTCCCCATCATCCTCAGCTCATGGCAGTTGCACATGGTACTGCTGGGCCTGTTTCTTGCAGGAGACTAGCAAAACAGAGTCTAGCTTTTTGTAATTTGCTAGCATATGAACTTAGGAGAGAAATGTCAAAATTATATATTAGCTTACTTTCCTTCTGTGAGTTATAAATCAATTGATTTTTAAGATCCATAAAACAAAATACTGATAAGCAAATTCATAGAAATTAAAACACATGGTATCTTTACCCCATAACTACCTCTGTATGAATTAATGTTCAATTATTATCCGCACAATAATTAGGCAAAAGATACAATCAGGCAACTCACATATTCAGGAATTTTAGGCAGTGTAAAAACCCCTGCAGAATATGTTCAATGCTCAACCACACTATGTCAATTAATGTGTATTCAACAATGTTGAATTTATGAAATAGTTGAAATGAGACTAGTCTGTTGACAAGCAAATTATAATGAGACTGAATTGGCATCACTCTTGGAAAGACAATTTGGTAATAGTGAGACTTCGTAATACCATATTCTGTAATTGCAGTTCTAGCTCTTTCCTCCAAATAAGCCTTAATACAAAAACAGCTATAGAGTTGTTCATTTTTCTGTCATTTAGAACATTAAAACCCTGGATAAAACATAATTATCTAGCAATAAGAGAATGACTAAGTAAATTGTAATTAACACAATAGAGACCATGTTGTGCATTTATTTAAAATGATTAGGCAGAAGTTATAATCAAAAATGAAATGGCTGTGTTATAATGTTACTGAAAAAAGCTGGGTTCATGGTTTTATCTATATTATTATTTCAGTTATGCAAAGCAAGCTGTGTGGAATGCCTAGAAACAAAAATTGGGGAAAATGGGACAAAGCATTTTGCATTTTTAAGGTGATGGGGAAATATATATGATATTTTTCTTTTACATATCTCAAAATTCTATTCTACATGATGTGAATTTTTTTTACAACAAAGACATATTTGTTAAAGTAAGAGGGATACAGGAGGAATGAGACAGCAACTTAGATTCATAAAAGAAAATTGGTGTAGGTCTAGCCCTTTCCAGAACTCTTGTTCTAGCCCAACCAGCTGGATTTTCACCTGTTTTTTGCTAAGTCAGTTGAATTGACTCCTGAGAATTGAATTGAGTTTCAGGAAGATACTATAGCACCTAATTTCTAAAGAATCAGAATACAGTTATTTCCCAGCTACTTTATATATAAAGTAATGAAAGAAGAACATGCACAGTCAACAAACAATTCTTTAATAATCACAAGGACTTCAAACAGCGTAGCTGCTAATGAACTTAACAAATACAAAAAGCTTTATGTTATCAAACACCATTCATGTTTTTTTCTTTTATGAAGAAATACTTACACGCCCTAAAGTATTTCAAAATAATTTCTAATTATTCTAAAAGTTACTCATATTTAAAAATAATTGTGTTATTTATTTTCCAAATTGTTTTGAAACTAAATAAGTGAACTTTAAGGCATAGAAATAGAACACAAACATTAAAAATGCCACTTACCTGACATGCTTTTTCCTCCCCAGAAAACTTGTTAGGTAGCCATAAAGCAAAAGGATGAACTCAGAATTCTCACAACCAACTTTTTTTCTAAGTAGTTTCTCTGCTATGTTAGAAGCAACATGAAACTAAAACTTAGCTTTATAACTGCCTCAGGTTTCTTTCTCTCTCTTTCTCTCTCTCTCTCTTTCTCTCTCTCTCTCATATTTCTTAAAAATTTTTTGTGTGTACTTTGTTCAGTTACAAACAGGAAATGTGGTGATGTACGCTTCTAGAGTTTAGATCAGAAACTAGTAGACTTGAATTGTTGTGTTACATGGGAAGAGTATCTGTACTGGTGCATTTGAATTTTTACCAATACCTGAGTCAAATTTAAAAATTGATAATGAAATCAAAATCTGAATCACATGAAAGGAAAAGCCATTCATAGGTTTGCAGACAATCCAGGTATCTTTTTTCACAAGCAAATTCACATGCAAATAAAATAAAATATATGAAACCAGTGAATGACTAGTTAGCATCCTCTGGGTGTGCTTAGCTATTTGTTATTTTATTTGAGATGTGATGGAGGGAAGAGAATTAATACTTTCTAGATTTTACTTAGTATCAGATATCCATCAGATATTTATTATACCACCAAAAGTTTAGATACCTCCCTTATTTCCTACCAACCTTTATTCCTGCCAGCATGATACTTCCTTCAAGCTAAAGCCACCTGGGAAACAGACCTTACCACTACACTGGATGTTACCTTGCGTAAGTATGTTAGAAGTAGTTAAAATCCTGAGCCCTACTGAATCACGATATTTGGGATAGAGTTCTAGAATATACATCTTAAAAAGTATCCTTGGTTTCTGTAATTGACAAAGAGAAAGTTATTTCCAATGACTCGACATGAAAACATCCTTATTCTCTAACAATTTTAATTGACACAAAATATTTGTACATATTTATGGGCACAGTATAATTTAATACACATGAAAAATGGATGATAAAACTAGGATAATTAGCATTTTTATCTTCTTCAAGATTTATCATTTTTATGTGCTGGAAAATTTTGAACTCTTTTTTCCTAGTTATTTTGAATTACATCATAAATAGTAGACTTTAGTCACCTACGGGGCTATAGAACATAAAATTAATCCCATTTATCCAAATGTATTTTGGCCTTCATTATCTAGCCTGTGTCTTTCCTTTTGTCCTTCCTAGCCTCTAGTGACCAGTATTCTTATTTATATTTCTATGAAATTAATTTTTCTAGTTTCTTTTTTTGTTGTCATTTTCATCTCCTGAAGTTCATTTAGATACAAGCTAATTTATATGACCAGAGGCACATAGGCATTTTCTTTGTGTTCCTCCTCTAAAAGTATATTCCTTTGGTCTCACTGTGTGTGAATGCCTAGAGTCCTCTAACTTTTCAAGTTTCTAAAAATGAGTGAGAGCATGTGATATTCATCTTTTTGTACCTAATTTGTTTTAATGTGATGTCTTTCAGTTCCATTAATGTTGCCGGAAGTGGCAAGATCGTTTCTTCCTAAATTTTATATTTTATGCAATCCTGGGCTTGAACTTAGGACTGGGGTGCTGTCCTTTAGCTTTTTCGCTCAAGGCTGGCTTTCTCTCACTTGAGCCACAACTCCACTTTGGGGCTTTTTGGTAGTTAATTTGGAGATGAAAGTCTCATGGACTTTCTTGCCCAGGCTGGCTTCAAACTGAAATCCTCAGATTTCTGTCCTTTGAGTAGCTAGGACTAGGCATTATTTACCATTCCTTGACAAGATTTCATCTCTTAATATATGGAAAGCATGCATTTTGAAGTCAGGCGTTAATAACTCTTCCTGTAATTCTATAGTTAATTTGAAGATTAAGCATGGAAGGATGGTGAAGGAAGTGACTTTTATGTCAGTATGGGGAGAAAAGTCTGAGACTCCATCTTAGTGGAAGAAGATGAGGATGGTGATGTAGTATATGGCTGTCATTCCAGCTATAATGGAAATCTAAAATAACTTGACAGTATCCAGGCATTTGCCTGGGCAGGAAGTGGGATTCTATCTAAAAAATAACCAGTACAAAAATAGGCTGGAGATCTAGCACAAGTTTTATTTATTTATTTATTTTTTTTGTCGGTTGTGGGGCTTGAACTCTGGGCCTGGGCGTTGTCCCTCAGCTCTTCAGCTCAAGGCAAGCGCTCTACCACTTGAGCTACAGCACCACTTCCGGTTTTCTGGTGGTTTATTGGAGTCTCACAGTCTCTCCTGCCTGGGCTGGCTTTGAACAGCAATCCTCAGATCTCAGCCTCCTAAGTAGCTAGGATTACAGGCGTGAGCCACCAGTGCCCGGCTTATTTTTTTTTTTTTAGCATGAGTTTTAGAATGCTTGTTAGCAAGCACTTGGCCCTCAGTTCAAATCCCAGTACTGCCAAAAATATTCTTTATTCATCTATCAGTGGACATTTTACCTAACTCTGTATCATTGGTATATAAGTAATTTGCATGTTTCTTTGAGAAATTTAAACATTTGAGATAGAATTCTTTTATCCATGGAAGTGGCTAAATACTAGCAGACTTTTTTGCACTTCATTCATTTCTTCTCAAAATACACCTTGTGAATAATTGAATAAGTCAATATCAGACACCACAAAATTCGCTTGAAGACTTTTTTTTTGGTAGGTTGTGAAGCTTGAACTCAGGCTGGGCACTGTCCTTGAGCTCTTTTTGCTCAAGTCTAGAAGTCTACTACTTTGAGCCACAGCACCACTTATGGTTCTCTAGTGGTTAATTGGGACTAAGAATCTCATGGACTTTCTTTTCCCAGCTGGCTTTGAACCATGATCTTCAGATGTCAGCCTCATGAGTAGCTAGGATTATAGATGTGAGCCACCAGCACCAGGTGGTGTACTCTTCTTCAAAATGCTTGGTCTTAAGAAACTCTTAGACAACAACTGCTTCTAAAACAAATAAGTGTGAAGAAGAAAAGTATATATTATTTTCACTTGTGTAGACATAACATACCTTCAAGTTCCCATAATTCCAATAATGTTGCTGCAAATGACAAGATTTAACTTTTTAATGGTTGAAAAGCATAAGGTGTACCCATGTCTACATTTTATTTATGTTTTCATTTTTTAATGAATATTTTGCCCCAACTCCAAATCACTGGCTATTTTAAATATAAAATAATATTTTAGATGATACTTTTTTATATACAACACATATAAGAATTATACATACTCATTATTAAAATTAGTTATAGTAATTCTTACAAAAATGGAAAACAGTCTTTTTTTTTATCAGATCCTTTTCTAGACTTATTGACCAGAGAACTTATTGTTCAGCATCGAGTCATTAGCAGAGTGATGAGTTCTAAAAGCAGGGCTGGGAAGGTGGCTCAGTGGTAGAGCGCTTGCCTTGCATGCATGAGGCCCTGGGTTCGATTCCTCAGCACCACATAAGGAAAAAGAAAAAAAATACAGAAATGGCGCTGTGGCTCAAGTGGTAGAGCACTAGCCTGGAGCTGAAGAGCTGAGGGACAGTGCCCAGGTCCAGAGTTCAGGTCCCACAATTGGACCCAAAAAATAAAAAAAATTAAAAAAAATAAATAAAAGCAGTCTGGATGCCCATAGGGTAAGACTTCAAAAGAATAGCAGTGCCAGGTTCATCTTAGAGCCAGAGCACAACTGAAAGTTCAAAGTTTATATCTTAGAATTAGATGTGACACAGGGATGGAAACTTCTGAAGAATAGAATCCAAGCAGACATCCAAGGAAGTTTGAATACCCAAGATCTAAGAAATGGCCCTTTGGCCAGGTGGCCCTGAGAGGGTAAATGGAAAGAAAGAGAGAAGGCCTGGGATCACCAGGGCCTTCTTTAGGTTACCTAAATAAGGATGTATAACATGGGCACAGCAGATAGGTATCTACTTACCAACTATCACATACAGAAGACATTTAAATAGCAAGAGGCTCAGGACTGGACTCTATCAACTTATTAGAGAATAAAGAAAAAAGGAAGAAGATGCCCTTGTTCTGGATAAGTCATAAAGTTAATTCCCAGTAACAATAATAGTATTCACAAGCTGAATTTGAATGCAGAGAAAACCAAATTCTGCAAGAACGACTTAAGCAAAATTTTAGACCCATTTTCATGGCTACCCCAAGAAACATGGCTCTTGGGAAAGCCCTCCTTCCAGACGAGACCCAAAGCAAACCTACGGGCCTCAAAGAGCCAATAGGTAATTAGATTGTACATTAATATACAATCTGAAAGGATGATTGAGATTGCCAAAATGGCAAAAATTTAGGCTAAGAAATCCAAGCCATGTCACATTTTTCAATTATTATAATATTTTTGAAAAATTATTTGCATTTTAATATTTGTCATTCCATAAATTTAGATTATAATGAGATATAACAAGTCTGCCCAAAGTCACTGAGAAAAGTTGTGCCTATGCATTAGATAGATCCATAGATGTTTGAAATTTGCAAGGAAAAAATATAGCTGTTTATTAAAAGATGGATGTTTGAGCACAAAGAGACATTAGCAGAATATTAAAAAGCCTATGGATATGTTTGTAATGAAATATACTAGTGAGCGCATTCAAAGATTTGAATAATGGCTTTGTGAGCCATATTCAAATAATACATAAACATGAGGCATCTATACTTCTTAATGAGATGGGTTATCAAAATCAAGTTTACAAGATAGCTAAGCTAAGCAGAAATGCCCTGGCAAGCTTGAAATATATTGGGACTGTTGTATTATAGTTTTTTGGTCAGTCATGGAGCTTGAACTCAGGCCCAGGTACTGTTTTTGAGGTCTTTTTGTCAAGTCTAGCAGTCTACTACTTTGAGCCACAGAACCACTTCCGGTTTTCTGGTGGTTAATTGGAAATAAAAGTCTCATGGATCAAGTCCCATGACCAACCAAAAAAACAAAAAAAGTCTCATGGACTTTCTTGTCCTGGCTGGCTTTGAACCAGAAAATGAAACATGTAACATAATGGAAGCTGCCATTCAAAGTTCTACACTCAGAAAAATAAGTTACCCAATGTAGAAGAGGCCAATTTTTGAAGTCTATTTTCATGGTCATCTATCATTTTAATCATTAATCTTTACTAGTAACACATACATCTATGTATGAACTCCAAAGAGTTCTAATAAAATTCAA